ATACCGCCAGGAGGGGCCTATGAACAGGAGCTGAAACGAGCATTTGGAACGGCCACACTGGGCCAGGCCACACTCATGAGTCAAGGAAAGGATGAGGCAGAAGAGGCAAGATTAAAGGCAGGGAAAACGAAATCAACATCCAGAGAGAAACATGAGGGGCCGGGCTGCCGGCCAGCTTCCCAGTCTAGGTGGCCCAGGCCCCTGCAATTCTTCAGGGAATAAGTCTTCATTTCTCCTACTCTGAAATCTCCTTTGGGGGCTGGCAAGAGGGTGAGATGGTTGGGAGGAGAAAGTCCTGGCTGCCGAGCCTAAAGAACTCAGTTCAAGCCCTGGCACCCACTGAGGAAAGAGAATCAACTCCCCAAAGTCGTGTCGTGCACGTACACACACACACACACACACACACACAAATAAATATAAAATAAATAAAAAATGTAACTTAGGTCTCCCTTTACTTAACTGAATGAGGCTCGGACTCCTGGGACAAGACTTTTCTCAAAGAAGCCAGACCCAGTGGGGCTGTGGAGATGGTTCCCTCAAGCAAACTGCTTGCCACACAAACCCGAGGACCCGAGTTCGGATCACCAGCACCCACGTCAAGAAGCAGCGGGGGCCTGTAATCGCTGCACTAGAGAGGGGGTCAGAGGATCCTGGGGCTGGAGAGTCAGCCAGCCTCACGGGGTCAGCGAGCTCCTGGTTAAGTGAGAGACCCTGTCTCAAAAAATAAGCTGAAGGGCCAGCAGGACGGCTCAGTGGGTAAAGGGGCTTGCCACCAAGTCTGACAACCTGACTTTAATCCCTGGGATCCACACGGCGGAATGAGAGAACGGATCCGGGCAAGTGGTCCTCTCACCTCCATGCATATACACACCCACCCACAACCACATGAACACAAAACAAATAAGACACAAAATCGACAGCGATTGAGGGAGACACGGTTGACCTCTAGCCTCTACACGTGCATGTCCACCCAAATGCACACAAATGCACGCACGCACGCATGCACAAATGCCAACCATGGTGTTACACTCCTGTAACCTTGGAAATGACAATCAGGCTAGCCTCCCGTGTGTAGCAAGTTTGAGGCCAGCCTGTACTACATGGAGAGCCTGTCTCAAAACAACAAAAACTCCCAACAACGGGACATCAAAGGTGACCCTCTTCCAATCCTGTGTCCCTTCCATGACAGCCATGCCCGATACTTATAGCTTATAAAGAGGACTGAGGTGACCTTAGTGGAGGCATGTAAAGTCTGGCCAGCTAATGAGAGGGAGACAGACAGACAGACAGAGACACAGAGGAGAGCCAGTCCTATGGAAGGCAAGGCCCAGACAACTTGTGAGCTCCAAAAGCCAGACAGTGTTTAGACTTTGGACTGAGCAAAAGGGGTAGAGGCGTCCGCCAGACTGTAATTACGCTTTAGAGAAACAGACCCGGGAGCAGGGTAAAATGATTCTGCACAAGATGGTGTGCCCCTCCGGCACACAGTAAGTGCTTAACCAACGCATGGACAGAGCGCACAGTGGTGCGTACCTGTCACCCCAGAACTCCAGAAGCGGAGGCAGGGAGAGCAGCCCGGGCCACACAGTGACTTTGAGGCCAGCCTAAGCTCCACGAGACCTTGTCTAAAACCAAAACCGAACAAAAACAGAGCGGGTGCTCTGGCTCATTTGGTGAAGCGCCGGCCTAACACGTACGCCTCCCAAGTCGATCCCCAACACCATAGAAACCTGGAGGGGTGGCACACCTGTCATCCCAGCTGTTGGGAGATGTAGGCAGGAGAGGCAAAAGTTCAAGGCCGGGGCTATATAAGTCTCAGGCAAGCCTGGGATACATGAGACTTTGTCTCCAATAAACACAGCAGGGGCTGGAGAGAGGGCTCAGGGGTTGGGAGTTCTTACTGCTGTTTCAGAGGACCCAGGTTCATTCCCAGCACCCACCTCAGGCAGCTCACAACATACCCTTCTCCTGGCCTCCATGCTGTACCTGCATACACATGGCATACAGTTCCATAGACATGCATAAATAAAGATAAAAATAAATCTTAAAAATACTGCGAAAACCAACAAATGAATGCACGTATATACAAAGTTCAGAACCACTGGGCACAGTGGCGCATGCCTTTAGTCCCAGCACTCAGCAAGCAGAAGCAGGCAGGTATCTGTGAGTTCAAGGCCAGCCTGGGCTACATAGCAAGTTCCAAGCCAATGAGGACTACACAGTGAGACCCGGTCTCAAAAGGGGGTAGAGGTGCAGAACCAAATATTCCTGGCCCAGAGTAAGCACTTAATATGTGTTTTTAAAAAAACCTGTAGGAGAGCCGGGTGGCTCTTGGGAGGCACTTGGGAGGCAGAGCCAGGCGGAGCTCTGTGAGTTCGAGGCCAGCCTGGTCTACAGAGTGAGTTCCAGGACAGGCACCCAAACTATACAGAGAAACCCTGTCTCAAAAAACAAACAAC